AAATTGTACAATTTTCCGAGAATTCCAACATACTAACTATTCTTTATGTAAGTAGGTACTTCAAAATATGCTAGCATATAATACAATCAAAAGGAAAATAAAAGTTTTCTTTAAAATGTATTAAAATTATAAAAAAACAGTATTTTTTAACAAATACAAGAGATATCAAAGAAATTAATTGTCTCATATCGAAGACGAAATATTTTATAAATACAATTAAATACAGACTATATAATATATAAGGATGGAGATATGTGTTTCGACGTATTTTCGCGCACTAAAAATCATTAATAAACTTAACGTACTTGATTGATATGTAAAAACGTTAAATCATCGGTATATAAAATGTTGGTCAATAATRTAATAAATACATACAGTGCACGGTCAATGAAGCCTTGGCCTTCTCGGAACCCACGTCGTTTTCGGCGTTACAAACGTAGAGTCCTTCGTCCTGAGCAATCACGTTAATAATCCGCAGTGATTTGTTGTCCAATATCTGAGCTCGACCGAAAGGCATTTTGTTACCATCGCGTTCCCAGTAGATGTTCGGTTTTGGATCACCGCCCACCTTGCATTCGAATTCAGCAGTCTGTCCGGTGTGCACAGTTACATCTTTGGGTTCGGTGTTTATGAACGGTTTCACTATAGACATATTCAAAAAGTCGTGTTTAAAAARGATTATTGGTTAGGCATATAATACTGTRCTGGTAATAATAGTCRACAAAATATTTGTCTATATTTGTCTCCTCTAAATTGAGGTTAATTAATTTTTTTTAAATTATATTTAGATGATTTGTTTTTAAACACACATACCTACTATACCTACAATTTGTGTATATAATCTTTTAAAAATTATATAAAAACGTMATTTGGGATTGAGAATATTTTGAAAGTTAAGAGAGAAAACTTGAAAACTTGAAAACAGTATTGTATTTTGAAAGCCCTCTATAATCGAAATATAAATACGTTTAATCGCGGAATGGCTTAAAGGAAAGTTGTACAGGCGCGAGTTTAAGGTTTGAAAATCGTACCAAAATCATTAACATCSTAATTATCAACATTAGRATTTTGGAGGCATTTTGGTTACTTAGCAAAGTTGACAAATAACAGTTTATCTTGTTTTATAGAAGATTAAGCAAARCGAGTATACTCTATATAACTGTTAAAGTTGTTTTGGACGGTTAGACCTTAACTTTGGGGCGTATTACAGGGAAAGTGTGTATTTAGTGGGTCGTAACCCGTTAATTTTAAAGGGATATTTATTATACAGCTAAACGATTTATGTATTTATAATTTATACAATGATCGGACCTGTTAGAATTTAAAACAAGCGAGTAATTAAATTGATATCGCAATGTGCGCGATTAAATTAAGTTATTAAGAYGTATTATTATTATTATTCATTAAACAATCTTAAGCAAGCTTAAAAGACACAAAATAGCATCGAAAGCATATCATTATAACGCGTGTATCAATGACATTAACGATGYAATTAAAACATGGCTGGTAAATACATTATAAAYACATTAATATATTGTTTTAMWGCTCATATTATATAACACTTAACACTAAAAAAACCAACTTTTTTTTACGTTAAAAATAAAAACCGATGTTGACTTTTGGTATTCTTAACGACCCGTACCTTATATATTATGTTTTATAATTAAAGTATAACTATACTGCAGGTGATTCTTTTATCAAACAACACATTCATTATTTAATAAAAGTATTAACTTTTTTCAAAATATTTTTTTACACAGTTTCAAGTTGTTAAAAAACCAACGTTTTTATTGAAAAATTATATTTTTAAATATTTTTATCCTTATAATTTTTTAATTCTAAGTATTTTGATTCATAAAAATACTTAGAAAAATATTCTGCTTGGGAATATGAAATTAAAACTCTATGTTGTCATTCAAAAAAGTAAAAACTTAAAAAATGATAAGGATAAAAAAATATTTAAAAATATAATTATTTAATAAAAACGTTGCTTTTAACAACTTGAAACTATGTAAAAAAATATTTTGAAAAAGTCGATATTTTTTTAAAATAATGAGTGTTGTTTGATAAAAGAATCACCATGATATTATATTAAGTAGGTTCTAAAATGCCGTCCATATTGTGAGCATAATGACACTGCAATGCACAAAGTACTTGGATTATACGCGTAACGCTGTGCGGCTGGATGTCATTTAACAATAATCATTATTATTTATAAACGAGTCAATATCGAACATTATCTAGACACGATCAATGGTCTACAACCATTATTTTGCTATTGTCTTGGAATTTATTTTTTTCAAATCGCCCGCACGGCTTTCTTTCCTCTGTCGGTCCGTATGCCAAATGCAGCGGGTGTCGACCCCTCGCACAGTGTCGGATTAATGACTTTCCAACAGCCCACCACAGCCGTTTATACGTATATCACACCATTGGCGGCACAATAATTTCCAAATGCATACACGAGTTGTTATTTATTTTTTCATCCAAACGACCCTTACTCCGATGACGTGTGGCCATTGTTGCATCCACCAGGGAAAAACACGGATACACAAAATGCATATATATATAATATATATATAATTTACTTATATATAATATATGTATATGCGTGAATGCAGGGGAAAGAATTTATTTCGTAGAAGAGTGAAAAACGTCGTCGGCGGCGGCGGATTGAATGCGGAAAAAAATCAGGTGCATTAAACATTTTGCAGTTTTTCAGCGAATTCTCCGCGTTCGTGTATAAAAAATATATCTGACGTGCGTATACAATATATATCAGTCCGTAGTATGCAGACTACTCTCTAACTCTGTGTGCACACTAAATGGCTCCTCTCGTCAGATGACGAAAAAACGTATTTCAATCGGTTCCCATACCATCCGATTTACTTACCCTATGCACATATTATAGTGTGGGAGTATGAGGGCAACATGGGCGTGACATTTTWTCGGGGTGGTAAAATATCGTGGGTAACTTCCATTAGCGATAAGAATTAGTATAATTTCAGTAATGAATTTAGTACGCACCCACACACACACATACATAACAATAACACTGAAATACGCACACTCTATTATAAATAGTCTTAATTTCACACAACAATACCCACTTATTATTAGGTGTCTATTAGCTATACAATACTCGGTGAATGCTTTTGACGCGATGGTGGGGCTTATTTTTTTTTCGGTATTCCATAATATCATTAAG